AGGAGATGGAAAACACGATCAAAAGGAGCATTTATTTAAAAACCTAATGGACAAACTCAAAAGTCATCCTGATACACAACACCATGACGTGATTTTTATCATCAGTGAAAATTTAACGAAGATTGATGCTAATCGTTACATGCTTTCTGGTATAATTTTTTTTTTATATATATATATATATTTTTTTTTACTTTTTCATTAAAATTTTGATTTATTCTTTTATTAGCTACATCAAGTTATTTTCATAAAATGTTTTGTAGTCACACAGCTGAATCGATAAAGAATAGACTAGTTGAAGTTAAAATAAAAGATATTTGATCAGATGCATTTAAGTATTCCTTCAATGGTTATATGAAGAAACTTTTGAAATAGCGAAAAATCTATTTTATGCAAGTAAGCCAAATTTAGACCAGATGAGGATTATGTTAGTTATTGTTTGTCATTTCTTATTGATTTGTTGAAAATTATGGATAGGTATGAAGGTAAACCACTTAAAGATATAGTAGAATTTATAATTATGAAGAAGAAGGAATACATTAATGTCAATAATGTATGTGAAATCTTAGAATAGGCAAAAGATTGTAATGCCTTAAAACTAAAAGAACGCTGTAAAAAATATATAAATAAAAATAGGAGTATAATTTTTGAGAGTAGATGGGAAAATATTAGAATAGTAGAGAACGAAGAAGATAGATCAAATGAAACCCAAATGTTAGATTTATTACTTAATAATTAGATATGAAAAAGAATTTTCTGTTAATAATAGTTGTAATTTATCAATAAAACATGAAATATTTTGTTTTTTTTTAATACTTTTTTATACCTCTGAGACAGTTAATCTGTTAATGTAGACCAAAAATTGTTTTCGTATAAATCAAAATTATTCAATAAATCACATGGTATAAAATTAAGACTATCTTAAAATTTTTACAAGTTTACTTGAATTGGTCTACAAGTATATGTTTCAGTTGTTAACGATTATCTGATTGTCAAGTAAGTACCTTGACAATATAAGTTGCCAGGATTGATAGAATCACTTCCTGTGAAGTTTGTATATAATTATGACTAAATAATTTATCATTCGTGAATTAATTAACGCGTCTTCTCAAAAAATTTAATTATTAGATATTTTATTAAATTTTTCCAACCCAGAATAAAATAAAAAAATAAAATAAAATAAAATATTATACAAATGGTATTAAAGTATTTAAACACAAAAATATTAATATTGTGAAATTTTTTTTTTTTAAAAAAAAAAGGAAAAGAAAACAATTTAAATAGAATCGATAAATAGCTGTTATAATTGTTCAAATAAAAAGAAAAAATATTACCATATATTTCCAGTTCCTGAACTTATATCACCGGAACTATTTAAATTATTAGCAGTAGTTAATTTATTCAATAAATCTATCATTTCAACTAATTTACCTTCCAATGAATTTGACCTATTGTCAATAGAACCTTTAACAGATTTCACAGAATCTTTTAATGTTAAGATTTCATCATGAATACTATTCACATCTTCATTAATAGATGAAATTTCATATGCATGCAGACTTGCGACCGTAGATAAACCATCATCAATAGAAGATGACCTTCTTATATTATCTTTAAAGAACACTTTCTTATCTTGAATATTCCTATCATCAATTGATCCATTAGAAGTTTTACCAGAAATTAATCCTTTGTGATCACTAGAACTCGACTTCCAACTACTATAAATTCAATGCCACTTTTTCAATTTATTCGTTCAAGATTCTTTTGTTTATAACTATCAACATCCAATTCAGTGATATCCCATTCTTTAGCATCTCCACTGCTACTTCCCTCTTTTGAAGTATCATCATCATCATCATCATCATCATCATCATTATTACTATCAACATTATGATATTTAAATTTATTGAATCTAATTGAAGCTCTTAATGACAAGTATTCTTGACACTTTCTTAACCACTTAGAGATCTTATTTGTATCACATATATAGAATATATGCTGTAGATTTTCTTTTAAATTACCAAATGGTTTTTCTAATGTTTCGTAATCAGCAATTAATTTGGCTTGATATTTCAACACAGCTAATCTACCATCTGATTTAACCTTATCAAAAACGCCCCTAAGTTACCAATTTACAAAAAAATATATTTAATTTCTTACATCTCTGCTTTTTAATGATAAATAACTACACTTACGATATAAATACTATTAGCATATTTTGTATAACAATAACCAACAAAACACTAGTTATAAAACTAAATAGACTGATTGGCCAAAAATTCCATTGTTCTAATTGATTCCAACGTCTATTTATCCAGAAATAAACAGCTGCTACAGATTGACCAAATTTGCAAAATAATTATCTGTAGGATCGCTTAAATTAAAAGATTGTAAGATTAATTAATTTTGGGGAACTCCATTAAGATCCATGATAGTAAACTGTGATCCATTTAGTTTAACATCTATTCTATCTGGATTACGAAGCAATAAATATCTAGAGAGCAAGAAAGTTAGAAGAAAATTTTTTTGAAAATAAATAGATAAACACATATATATTGACAATTACATTGCATGCATGCTTGTATGCAAATACCACAATACCTATTAAACCAATTTAAAATTTATTATTAATTCTAAGGCATTTATTAAATTTTCTATTAAATTAATATTATTTACCCATAAACGCGATGAAAGGTCAGATGTTTCGCATAATATTTATAATTATATAAATAAAATTTCCTATTTCTGAGAAATATCTGAGCAATAAGAACTAAAAAAAAAAATTGTTAATATATCTGTCTCTATCAAAACAAATAATTAGCTTTTGCTAATGTAACTTACCAACTCTATCCATAGTACCAATACAGTAAATGCAATAGCAATCGTTAACTGTTTTAATTGATTTGGAGATATATCGCCTCTAGATTCTCTTATCAGTTCAACAGTATATGTAGCTAAAGGCATTATAATACTAGCTAAATTAAAGAAATTATAAATGCTAATATATCTTCTCACATCTTCTTGCATAAATTGCACAACTTCACTAGCTAAAAGATAATAACCCAAATAATAAATAATAAAACCATAATATTTATAATTATTTTAAATTGCAACACAATGTCATCATCAGCCTGTTTAGCTAAAATGATAGTTTTTTTTACAAAACTATTTCTTATAGTGCTGGTCAATACACAAAATAAACCAGCAAAACAAAAAAATAATGCATAAAATGATTACGTGCAGACCTCTATTTAAAATCTATTACAGCTTCCATTGCAGAATTATTAAATAACATGCTATTCTTATCTTTTCTTATTACTCTTAAGAATAGAGATAATTTTGACAGCTTGGTAATGGTATATCCACGTAGCCATACCAACATACGTAATAATTGAAATAGTAATATATGATAATTTATATCTTGATTTTTAGTACCATCAGGATATATGGTAAAGTTCAGTAATAGAACTAATCTTAATGCTACTAACGCTGACGAATCCCCTCTATCTAATTCTGGTATGACTTTTGTAATGCTGCCAATTGTTGATTATGTGTAAAACTATTACAAAGGAAAAAAAGTATATGTAAACTTAAGATTGAAATTTAGAT